ATTCCATTCCATATTCAATTCCATTTCATATTCCATTTAATTCAGTATTCCATTCCATTCCATATTTGATTCCATTCCAATTCCATTCCATTCTGTTTTCCATTCCTTTCCATATTCCATTCTATTCCACATACCATTCCATATTCCATTCCATTCCATATTCCATTCCATTCCATATTCCATTCCACATTTAATTCCACATTCCATTGCATTTCATATTCCATTCCATTCCATATTCCATTGCATTTCATATTCCATTTCATTCTATATTCCATTCCATGCCATGCCATGTTCCATTCTCTTCCATATTTTATTCTATTCCAATCCATTCTATATTCCATTCCTTTCAATATTCCATTCCATTCCATGTTCTATTCTATATTCCATTCCATATTCCATTCTATATTCCATTCCATTCCATATTCGATTCTACATTCCATTCCATTCCATATTCCATTCCATTCTATTCCATTCCATATTCTATATCATTCCGTATTCCATTCCATTCCATATCCCATTCCCTTCCATATTTCATTCCATTACACTCCATTCCATATTCCATTCAATATTCCATTCCTTTCCATATTCCATTCCATTCCAGATTCCATTCCATTGAATATTCCATTCCATATTCTATTTCATTCCATTTCATATTCTATTCCTTTCCATATTACCTTCCATTTCATATTCCATTCTATATTTCATTTCCTCCCATATTCCATTCCATTCCATTTCCTCCCATATTCCATTCCATTTCATATTCCATTTCATTCCATATTCCATTCCATTCCACATTTCATTCCATTCCACAGACCATTCCATCCCATTCCATAGTCCATTCCATCCCATTCCATTTTCCATTCAATTCTATATTCCATTCTATAGTCCATTCCATTTTCTATTCCATTCTATTCTATTCCACATTCCATTCCATTCCATATTCCATTCCACAGTTCATCCCATTCCATATTCCATTCCATTCCATATTTCATTCCATTCCATAATCTATTCCATTCCATATTCCATTCTATATTCCATTTCATTCCATTCCATATTTCATTCAATTCCATATTCCAACCTATAGTCTATTCCATCTTCCATTCCATTTTATTCCATTTTAGATTCCATTCCATATTCCATTCAATTTCATTTCCATTTTATATTCCATTCTATTCCATATCGTTTCATTCTATATTCCTTTCTATTTTCCATTTCATATTCCATTCCATTGCCTATTCCATCCCATTCTATATTCTATTCCATTCCATATCCATTCCATTTCATATACCATTCTATTGCATATTCCATTCCATTTTCCATTCGATTCCATTTCATATTCCATTTCATATTTTATTCCATTCTATATTCCTTTGTATATTCCATTTCCTCCCATATACTATTCCATTCCATATTCCCTATTCCATTCCATTCCACATATCATTCCATTCCACATTCCACTCTATTCCATATTGTATTCTATTCTACTCCATATGTCTTTCCATAATCCATTCCATATTTTATTACATTGCATATTCCATTCCACATTCCATTCCATATTCTATTCTATATTCCATTCTATATTCAATTTTCTATTTTATTACATTCCATATTCCATTCCACATTCCATTCTATATTCCATTCTATTTCACCTTCCATTCCATTCCATATTCCACTGTATATTCCATTCCATTCCATGTTCTATTCCATTCCATATTCCATTGTATATTCCATTTTATTCCATATTCCATTACCTCCCATATTCCAAATTCCATTCCATTTCTTTCCACATTCCATTCCATTCCTTTTCATATTCCATTCCACATTCCATTCCATTTTACATTCCATTCCATTCCTTTTCATATTCCATTCCACATTCCATTTCATATTTCATTCCATTCCATATTCAATTCTACATTCTATTCAATTTCCTTCCATATTCCATTCCATTTCATATTCCATTTTATATTCTATTCCATTACATATTCCAGTCCATTCCATTGCATGTTCCATTCCATTCCCTTCCATATTCCATTCCATATTCCATTCAATATACTATTGCTTTCCATATTCCATTCTATTCCGTATCCATTCCATATTCCATTCCATTTCATTCCACATTCCATGCCATTTCATTTTATTTCATATTCCATTCCATTCCATAATCCATTCCATTCAGTTCTATATTCCATCCCATTCTATATTCCATTCCATTCCATATCTATTCCATTCCATATTCCATCCAATTCCATATTCCCTTCCGTATTCCATTCCATTAAGTTCAGTATTCAATTTCATTCCACATTCCATTTCATATTCTATTCTATTCCATATTCCATTCAGTTCCATTCCACATTCCATTTCATTCCATATTCCACTCCATTCCATTCCATATTCCATTCTCTTCCATATTTCATTCCACATTCCATTCCATTTTCCATTTAATTTCATTCCATATTTTATTCCATTCCATATTCCATTACACGGTCCATTTTCTATTCCATTCCATATTCCATTTCATTCCATTCCATATCCATTCAATATTTGATTTCTTTCCTTATTACTTTGCTTTCCATATTCCATTCCACATTCCATTCCATTTCATATTCTATTTCATTCCACATTCCATTTCCTTCCATATTCCATTCCATTCCATATTCCATTCTATATTCCATTCCATATTCCATTCTGTATTCCATTCCATTCCACATTCCATTCCATTTCATAATCTATTCAATTCCATTCCATATTTCTTTCAATATCTTATTCCATTTCACATTCCATTTCATTCCATTCCATATTCTATTCCATTCCATATTCCATTCTGTTCCATTCCATATTCCATCCCTTTCCATATTCCATTCAATTCTATATTCCATCCCATATTCCTTTCCATTTCATTCCATTCCATACTCCATTCAATATTCTATTCCTTTCCATATTTCATTCCATATTCCATTCCCTCCCATATTCCATTCCATTCCATATTCTATTCAGTATTTTATATTCCATTTCATTCTACATTCCATTCCATTTCATATTCCATACTATTCCATATTCCATTCCCTATTCCATTCCATTCCAAATTCCATTCCATATTCCATTCCATTCCATATTCAATTCTATATTCCATTCCATATTCCATTCCATTCCACATTCTATTCCATTTCATAATCCATTCAATTCCATTTCATATTCCTTTCCATATTTTATTCCATTCCATATTCCATTCCACATTCCATTCCATTTCATATTCCATTCCATTCCATATTCCATTCCATTTTGTTTCATATTCCTTTCCATATTCCATTTCATTCCATTCCATATTTAATTCCATTCCATTCCATATTCCATATTCCATTCCACATTCTGTATTCCATTCCATTCCACTCCATTCTATTCCATTATTATTATTATTTTTTGAGACGGATTTTTGCTCTTGTCACCCAGGCTGGAGTGCAATGATGTGATCTTGGCTCACTGCAGCCTTGACCACCTGTGTTTACGTAATCCTCTTGCCTCTTCCTGAGTAGCAGGGACTACAGGTGCACGCCTGGCTAATTTTTTGTATTTTTCATGGAGACAGGGTTTTGCCACGTTGCCCAGGATTCAATATATTTTAAATCTCCTCCAGTGGTTGTAACATTCAACTAAAGTTGAGAACTTCTGATCTAGGTAGGGACTCTTAATTATTTAGGGCATCTGTAGATGGCTTCAAAGGACCAGTGACTTCTTGAAACTCATAAACAAAATTTGGTGTATGTTTATCCTATCTGATCCAAACTCCCAGCTGGTCCTCAAATCTCTTCCATAACATCCCAATAAAATGACTGTTGGGCTTTTGTTTAAACATTTCTAGTGAAGGGAAACACCTTGCCCCTGAGGAAGCCGATCTCAGACAGTTCTGAGGGTCAAACCCCTTGAGGGAAGTGGGTGGGAGGGAAGCCCAATCTTGAATACAAGTGTCATAAAACGTTAGTCACTTCACAGAGGAAAAAGCTGAAGCGCAGCTGAAGTGTCTGGCCCAAACTAATGGAGCTTATGATAGATTGGAGGGTGAAAGTCCAGGCCCCCTAGTTTCCTCCTTAGTTCCTGTCCCTCACGTCATGCTGCAGAGTTACTTCAACGGCGTGATCTGTGAGGGCACACTTTAGGATAAACAGGGCTGGGCATGGCTGAGTAAGACCCCAATTCCTCCCTCCTGCACCATCCTTCTAGAAGGCAGGCCATCCCGGACAGAAAGGGGAGAGCAGCCCGTCTCCTCCTTTCATGTGGGGTGTCTCCCACCCCTGCCCAGCTCCACATGACTGGAGGTGAAGGCTCCAGGAAAACCCTGCTGGGGTTTTCTTGGTGGCCCAGGTGCCAACAGGGATATCTGGCTTATCTCATACCCTGAGAGATAGGTGCAGGCACTGAAGGGAAGGGGTGATGAGTGTGTTCCACCTCTGTTCCCCTGGAAGGTGGTGTGGATGATAACAAAACAGTGATCTGAAGGCTGAAGGTCTCCACCATGGATTTGTAAATATACACCAGATTTAAAGTGATCTTAAAGAAACATTAACTTGTTTAGGGTGGAATCAGGCTTGTTAATTATCTGGAGTCATGATGTCTGATATTACAATATCTTCCATTTACAGCCAAGTAGCCCAGGACAAACTACCATCTTGGAGCCTGGCTGCCACAGCTATAAGCTGGAGTTAGTAACACTCAGCTTTATACTGTTAACGAAGTGAATTGCATAATATATAAAGAGGCTAGCAGAGTGTCTGGCACACAGCTTGTGTCTAGTAATTGGTGGCTGTTATTGTTAATAATGCATTTATCAAAATGCAAATATTATGACAAATTATTTTCATGTATGTCTAATCTCACTACACAACACATTTCTGATGACAGAGGTGTGTCACAGTACATTTTGAACTCCCGATTCCTCCCCACAGAGCTTGGTGCTAGCTCTGCACTTAGTATAAGCATGAACTTAGGTCGAAGTGACCCATTCTTACCGGGTGAGTCTGTTCTTGCAGTGGTATTTCGGATCTGGGTTCTGCCTCAAGGCTGACGGAATCAATACACTCAGCAAGTATATCCTTAGTCACTTCTCCATTGAGAGGGGGCTCCATGGCACTGGCATCTTGAGGCTGCACAGGAGGCCCAGCGGCAGCAGCCCCTGCCACCTGCACAGCTGCATTTTCATGCCCGTCCCCTCTGGGGTCAGCTGGTGTTGGCTCATGTGAAACTGCAGCTGAATCACAGTGCACTTCTGCATCTTCAGGTAAAGAATCACTATTGGGCATCTCAGTAACTTCTGCTTTGTCTCCAGTGGCTAAGGTGTCACCAGCATCATCAGACATTTTAATATCTGTCAACACAATTACAAACACCTCATGCTTTCATCGAATTGTAAAGCTTCATTTCAAAGCCCTGGATAGAGAAATTTGGTAGGGGTAAACTTTTTTTAACCAGTACTCTATGTAACCCTGGGGGAGACTGAATAATGCAGGGGTCCCCAACCCTATATTATTCTCTGTATTAATCCATGGCTGTTAGGAACTGAGCTGCACAGCAGCAGGTGAGTGGCGAATGAGCGAGCGCAGCTTCCTCTGTATTTATAGTCGCTCTCCATCACTTGCATGACCACTTGAGCTCTGCCTCCTGCCAGACCAGCGATGGTATTAGATTCTCATAGGAAAGTGAACCCTACTGTGAACTGTGCATGTGAGGGATCTAGCTTGCCCACTCCTTATGACAATCTAATGCCTGATGATCTGTCACTATGTCCCATCTCCCCCAGATGGGAGCATCTCATTGCAGGGAAACAAGTTCAGGGCTTCCACTGATTCCACATTATGGTGAGTTGTATAATTATTTCATTATATATTACAATGTAATAATAAAAATAAAGTGCACAGTAAATGTAATGTGATTGAATCATCCCCAAACCATTTCCCTCACACCCCTTTTCACTGATCTGTGGAAAAATTGTCTTCCATAAAACCAGTTCCTAATGCCAAAAAGGTCGCGGACTGCTGGAATAATGAATGGTCCCCAATATAACCATATCCCAATTCCTGGAACCTGTGAGTGTTACCTTACATAACAAAGGGATTTTGCAGATGTAAGTTAAGGATCTTGAGATGAGGGGATTATTTTAGATCATCTGAGTTGTCCTTAAATGTAATCACAAGTGTCCTTATCAGACAGAGGCAGAGGGAGACATGACTACAAGGAGGAAAAGGTGATGTGATGACAGAAGCAGAGGCTGGAGTGATGCACTTCAAAGATGAAGGAAGGGGCCCAAAGCCAAGGAATATGGGTGACCACCAGAAGCTGGAAAGGGAAAGGAAACCATCCTCCCCTCAGAGACTCTAGAAGGAGCCAGCCTGCCAGCAACTTAACTTTAGCCAGTGGACGCTGATTTCAGACGTCTGACCTCCAGAACTGCAAGAGAATAAGTCTGTGTTGGCAAAAGCTACAAAGTTAGTTGTAATTTCCACAGCAGCAATAGGAAGCTAACAAACCTACAGGGCTATCTTTAAACTTTCCTGGAGCTCTTACTTGGCATGAAGGACTGCGCCTATGGGAACTAAGAGTATTAGCTGTATCTTTAAAGTTATTGAATCTGGCTTTATTAATTATATTTGTAGCAATAATGAGAATAAGCACAGGAAGGGAGGGTGCAGTGGGTCACACCTAGAATTCCAGCACTTTAGGACGCTGCGGTGGGCGGATCACATGAGGCGAGGATCAGCCAAGGCCAACATGGCGAAACCCCATCTCTAATAAAAATACAAAAATTAACTTGGCATGATGGCATGCACCTGTAGTCCCAGCTACTTGGGAGGCTGAGGCACAAGAATCACTTGAACCTGGAGGGTGGAGGTTGCAGTGAGCTGAGATTGTGTCACTGTACTCCAGCCTAGGTGACACAGCGAGACTCTGTCCCCAAAAAATAAATAAATAAATAAGAATAAGTCTAGAAAATACCTGAGCACCTATCAAAAAAATACTTGGTATTTAGCTTTGCAATGTCTTTGTCAGAAATTCACAGTGAGAAAGAGACCTATATACACACAGTATGCTTTGTTGGGGACCAGCTGATGAAGGCCCAGACATTGGTTTAGTCAAGGATTAACTTGAAGGGTAAGAAGTGAGGTAGAAACCAAGTAGGAAATGTAGCCATTAGAGCACAAAACTCTTTAAAGCTTACAAATTATTGATATCGTGTAGAGCAGCATTATTCAATGGAACTTCTGGTGGTGATAAAATTGTCCTTCCTGTCTCAACAAACTAAGCATTGAAGGAACACATCTCAAAGTAGTAAGAGTCTTTTATGACAAATCCACAGCTAACAACATACTGAAGGGGCAAAAGCTGGAAGCATTCCCCTTAGGAACCAGAACAAGATAAGGATACCCACTCTCACCACTTCTATTCAACACAGTAGTTGGAAGTCCTAGCCAGAGCAATCAGGCAAGAGAAAGAAATGAAATAGGAAGAAGTCAAATTATCTTAAAAGAGGAAGTCAAATTATCTTTGCAGATGATATGATTCTATCCCTAGGCAATCCCACAGTCTCTGTCCAAAGGCTCCTATCTGATAAACAACTTCAGCAAAGTTTCAAGATACAAAATCAATTAACACAAATCAATGTCATTTCTATACACCAATGATGTCCAAGCCGAGAGCCAAATCAAGAATGCAATTCCATTCACAATAGCCACAAAAAGAATAAAAGGAATACAGCTAACCAGGGAGATAAAAGAGCTCCACATGAGAATTACAAAACACTGCTCAAAGAAATCAGAGACGACACAAAGGGAAAAACTTTCCATGCTCATGGATAGGAAGAATCAATATTGTTAAAATAACCATACTACCCAAAGCAATGTACAGATTCAGTGTTATTCCTATCAAACTAGCAATGACGTTTTTCACAGAATTAGAAAAAAAATTCTAAAATTCATGTGGAATCAAAAAAGAACCCAAATAGCCAAAGCAATCCTAAGCAAAAACAAAGCTAGAGGCATCATACCACTCAACTTCAAACTATACCACAAGGTTATGGTAACCAAAACATCATGGTACTGGCACAAAAATAAAACACATATGCCAACAGAACAGAATAGAGAACTCTGAAATAAAGCCACACACCTAAACCTTCTGATCTTTGACAAAGCCAACAATAACAAACAATGGGGAAAGAACTTCCTATTCATTAAGTTGTACTGGGACAACTGGCCAGTCATATGCAGAAGATTGAACTGGACCCCTTCCTTACACCATATACAAAAGTCAACTCAAGATGGACTAAAGACTTAAATGTAAAACCAAAAACTATGAAAAAGCTAGAAGAAAACCTAGGAACCTAGGAAATACTATCCTGGATGTCGGCCTTGGCAAAGATTTCATGACGAAGACTCCAAAAGCAATTGCAACAAAAACAAAAATTGACAAGTGGGACCTAATTAAAAAAAAGAGCTTCTACACAGCAAAAGCAACTATCAACAGAGTAAATGGACAACCTATATAATGACAGAAAATATTTGCAACTATGCATGTGACAAAGGTCAAATATCCAGAATCTGTCAGGAACTTAAAAAACAAAAAACAAAACAAAACAAAAACCATTAAAAAATGGGCAAAGGACATGAACAGACACTTCTCAAAAGAAAACACATATGTGGCCAACAAGCATATGAAAAAATGCGTAACACCACTAATCATTAGAGAAATGCAAATAAAAACCGTGAGATACCATGTCACACACAGACTTTCCCAATAACTCAGAGCTGTCATTGACCACACTTTTACCTTCTCAAGAATATATAATATCAACAGCTGTCATTTATTGGGTGCTTACTGTATTATCCCCTGTGAGTTCAATGTCATCAGCTCCATTTTACAGATTAGGAAACTGAAGTTCAGAATTCACATTTTTGGTAAATAGTACATTTGAAATTTGAACCCATGTCTGACTTTGCGACTGAACCACATCAGAGCCCTGTCAGCAATACCATCTGCTTCTTTTCTTACATTCAGCCAGTGGCCAAATCCCAGAGGCTCTTTATTGAGCATCCATATGCTTTCTCTTACCCCTATTCTCACTGCAAGCTTCTCATTATGGTTCATGTTGACTATTTCAGTATTGGGTTCCCCTGCTCACTGGAGCTCTTCCCCTTACTTCCCATCCTTCACCTCATGGCTCTAATCACATGGCTCTCCTGCTCACACATCCTCAGGAGCTCCCTCTTCCTCTCCCTCCTGAGATGAGGCCACATATTTCAGCTGGTATCCAGGGACCTCTGTGCTCTGATCCCACCAGGCTTACCTCCCACGATTTCCAACAAAAGCTTAAATGAGGCTTCAGGATCTGGGTAATGCCTGGCACATCCGGAAGAGACCCTCAGGGGGCTGTTGGTTTCCATGTGTTGTTCTTTTGCACACTGAAGGCCCAATTAAAATAACCACCTCCTCCATTCTTTGTTCCTCTGGATTGAACATTTTCCTTCTGAACCCCTGAGGGCATTTTGTGTTTATCTCACCTTAGACAGTTAAAATCCTCTTTGATTAGAGTTGCTTCAGTTTTTCTGTGATTAGTAAATTCTATAAAGACAAAGGCCTTCTTTGTTTTGTATTCATATTATAGTACTTAACATGGTTTCTTGTACTTAGCAGGAAGCTCAAAAAATACACCTGTTGAGTTATATTAATATTTGTGCAGAGACACTCAGGAGCTCTCTTACAGCAGGTGGTTCCAAATGACTTGACATTTCCGTATTGTCTTTCTTTTTTTACCTTCACCTCCCAGTTAATTGAGTTAAAATATATTTGTATAAACAAAAGTATCTGCCAGACCTTGAATTCAGTGATAACCCTCCTGTAAACAAGTCTACGTGTAACAACGGCAACAAATGCAAACTTCCCTCAAGCTGATATACAAAGTTTAGGATATTCAAGGTTGCCTGTGGCTGTCAAGGAGCTGGGTCTGAGCCTAGCTGAAAGAGTAAAGAATGATAGAAACCCACTGTACAGAGAAGGGGTGGTACAATAAATACCCCTCGTGGGTAGTTTGTGGGAGGAGTTTATGGGAGGTGAGTAGAATTGATGGGGGCTGCTAAAAAGGCTGTTGTCATTTGGAAGTTTACAAAATCTTTGTGAAAACCTCTCTCTGAATCAGGGCTGGCCTAGGGCAGGGGGCTGGCAAACCACAGTCTGCTGGGCAAATCTTGTCCTCTGCCTGTTTTGGTAAATACAATTTACCAAAATTGCACGAGAGATACGCCCTTTGTTTACATACGGAACTGTCAAGGCTCTCTGGCACTACAATAGCAGAGCCGCATCCGGCAACACAGACCATAT